ATATATATATATATATCTGTTTGTTATAATAAAAAGGATGAACTCAGGCCCCAGATAAAATTGTCACCATTAAAGAGCAGGGATGGTCCACCAGAACCTGAGCAGTTGCAGTTGCCCAAGAAGAATAAAGGTAACTGTGGGCAAATATTGACAAATCTGATATCCACTCTAAATATTACTGAATAGGAGAAACTCTGTGGATAGCCAGGCTTCACCTATAATTATCACTTTGTTTTTCAAAAGATGGAGTAAAGTTGTGACTCAATGGAGATCAACAGCAAAACTCTCAGTTACTCCAGTGGAACCGGAATTTTATCTCATGATTGATTTTACACCCATGCCATGAGCACAGTCACCTAGATTTTGTGAAGAAATGGGAATATTTTGAAGTAGATTTTCCCATCTTCCCACTTTACACATGATTTAATAACAGTCCTTTTAACCTAGTAGGTTTAAAAAAAAAAGAAAAGAAAAAAGAAAAGAAAAGGAAAAAAATGGAACCAGAAGCCAGAACAATTTTGTATGCATTGTAATTCCAAAGGTTAAATTAATTATTTGGGCCTAGGAACTGAACTGGTGTTAGTCAGTCCCAGTTAGCAGTGCCAATGTGCACCAACTAAGACTTGGACCCAAGCATTTCATATGTGCTGTGCAGCAAAAAGGACATCTGCAAGTTGCTGGGGGCGAAAGGAGAGGGAGCTAATGGAGGGAAGGAGAAGAACCTTCCAGTTTCTCCAGCGTATCTTCTGCTGATAGCCCTCCCAGCTTGCCGTTTACCCATGAGGGTCAGACAAAGAGTTCTTTGGATATAGGGATTAGACTTGCTTCCTGGGGGAATGAATACCTGCAATTAAAATTAGGGAGAGAGAATGAAAAATGCTTGCAGTATTCAAGATTTCTGTAACTGAGAATTTTTTATCTTCACCATCAAATTATTCCCGACTATTATTTTTTAACGGGTGTAATTTGAATTCTCATTCCTCAAAGAACAGATGATGCTTTTATCTGCTATAAAGCAGAGAACAAAATTGACTAGTGATAGGGACCAGACAGCTTAGCCAGGCCATAATGAGATTTGTAACAGGATATTGAGCCCTTCACCTCAGGTCACTGCTTTGATTATAGCTTAGGTCAGGAGTGATCCAACGCTACCATCTGATGCCTGTTCAGTAGCCTTTGTGAAATGGGCTTGTTGGTCTCGCACAAACCCTTAAGAGAAAAATGTCCATCTTTTGCAGAGTTTGATTCTGCAAAGCACTGTAGCCCCACCCAACAAGGTCCTAAATACTTGACTCAATGTAGAAACTTTTGGCTTGATACCAGAATGAATATTCTAGGGTACTCTCATGTTTGAAAAGCACAGTGAGAGGCTGGAGTGTAGCTCTGTGTCTTGGCATGGTCCTACACAGCTGGTAGGACCAGGCTTCCCACTCCTACTGGCATTCATTGTCAAAGTATGTAATTTTATACATATGATATATAACTTCTTTGTGACCTGTTGATACCAAGTATTTGTTAGAGCTGTCATTTTCCAGCTGGGACAGGCAGAGATGAAGAAGTATTATATGAAATTATTGTAGAAAATTGATGTGTGAATTCTAGCCTTAACTAACGTGAAGTCTGTCAGTGGAAAAAGCCACAGTGCTACATATTTGCTCAGAGTCATTCTGTTTGCTAGGAATCATTCTGTTTTCTAAAACATGATATAAAATATCTTGCTTTAGGGCCAGGAAATGGAGTGACATAAATAGATTCTTTTTTACAAGTTTGTTTAATGTGATCAAAAAATGAATCAAGGCAGTTAGGATGTTTGCCGTTTTTGTAAGGAGAGAAAGAGGAGCTGGCAAAATACTAACAAATAATAACTTTATCCATAGTTCATGCCTTTATAATATCTTGTTTTCTTCTTTTTTTTTTTTTTACTTTCTCCTCTTGTCAGTAATATAATTTATGTTTCAGGGAGAAGATCCATTACATTCGAACAGAGGGTACACATGGGCTTGAAAAGTTGTCGTGTGATGCAGATTTAGTAATTCTCTTGAGGTAATCAATTTGACCAAAAGCATAATATGGCTACTTATAGTGCCAAAGAATCTGGCTGGCTTTTTTTCAACATAATTGACAAGTTTGTGTTAAACCTTCCAGGTCATTTGTCATTAGAATAGGATTTCGTTGTTAATGATAGCCACGCAAAATAATTCTGCCAGAGTACATCAGTCAAATCTTGCTTTCTGGAAGCCAGTCTCCAGTGATGCAGTGAACTCCATCAGCAGCCAGCAAGTCAATCAATATGACTATTACCATTAAGTAACTGATGAAGAATCAGATCAGAATGTTTCCTTTTGATGGAAACATTCTTGTTTCCTATTTTCAAAAAAGAGGAAAAAAATCTTAGCTTTCTCCCTGTGAATGGAGAATGCAACTGTTCATGAAATTGCTAGTTCTACCACTGGAGCATTGCCCACGCAAGCTGAGCCATGTCCCAGCAGTGAAACCCTGAAGCACAGTACAGTGAGTGATTTGGGTGTTTGTGGATAAGACTTCATGTAATAGTTACTTTTGCTCAACATAGATAAGGACTTTTTGTGGTTGTTTTGGACTTTCACAGAAAATAATCAGAGCCACACTACCCAATGCAAGAACTTTGCAGCTTGTTCCCAACACCTTCATATGAATGGTCAAAGTACTGTGCAGGTGTCTCTGTGGAAGTACACACCCAAAGGAAAACAAGCTGGAAGACCGATGTGTCTTCCTCCTCTTTACTCATTTCCAACATGTGGATGTTGTCTCCATTTACCACATACTCTCAGGGCTTAATTCTCTCTCAGTAGACTGAGGCCTTAACATGAAACGTCTAATAAAACTGCTTATTTATATTCCTTCATCTGATGAACGTGAACCAAGCCTTTCTCATCATGTTTCCACCCAGCCTTTTTGAAGAGGATATTATGTCCTACATACCACTGCAGGCTGCCTTCCATCCTGGTTACAGTTTCTCTCCTCGCTGTTCTCCCTGCTCATCACCTCAAAATTCTCCAGGTAAGGAGAGGGGAAGACATTACCAAATCTTGCATTTGGGGTATTTCTCCATCTAATAATTACAAGGGAGCAAACTGAGAGCTAACGTAAATTGTCACTCTGCTGATTTCAGTGCCTACTTCGAATCTGACCCAAACTGTGTTACATCTCTGCATCTGTTCCCAGTACTGATACATGTTTGCTGAAATGTTAAAATGGCTGGAAGACAGAGATTTGGAGGTGTCAGTATAGAAGGAAGTATTGTCTTGCCTTTCAAATAATCAGGGAGGGTTAGGATAAGAAGAGAATAGTGATCTCCAAACATAACTCACAGACATGGAAATGCATTCATGGATATTGACATCAGATAAAAGGAGCAAAGAGCAATTTCCAAATCACAGGTGTATCACAATACTTCCAGTAAACTCCTATAAAATACTCCTGTGATGTTAACTCTCCTCCACACCATGTACTAAAGACTCTAATTCTTCCCAAGATTCATCTATTTTAAGACCTGAGGGGATCATCTTGATCGTCTAGTCTGACCTCCTGTGTTGAGCTCATTAACTTATGCTTGACAGGAAACATATTTTCCGGAAAGATATGCTGTCTGAGAAGGTTATTTCCAGCTGCGACATGTCTCTGTAGTTATTGTTTATGCTATAGAAATTTGAGGAGCAAATGCCTCCAAATTGCCAAGATGTACAACCCCTACCGCAACCTCCCTGCTTGACTGTGTCCAGAGGCCATTTTGAGAGAATGGGTAGAAACGTGATCTTAAGAAATCCATTTTTGGCCGAGTCCGTTTAAATTATCTGTTTTCAACCAAAATTTACAGGGGAGAGATGTCCAAATCTTAGAGATGGTTTAGAAAGTTTGTTGATTCTTTCTTTTTATGTGCAGAACTTAAAAACTGAATCCTTGTCTGTAGGGCCATGGTATTTAGTGGGAATGTCCTATTATCACAACTGAGTTTCAGCACCATTACAAATACACTTACCTCCTCTACATCAGGATAGGTCAGAAATAAGACTATTGCAAGACAGAACTAGAAGTGTTTGACCAGTACTGTAGTCAGGAGTTATTAAAAGAGCTGCAGGACTTCTACCTCTTGTGAAAAGATGTGAAGGGCAAATATTAAATTCAGATAACATATTGTCTGTCTCCTTAGTTCTGCTGCTGCTTACATAGCCCATGAAAACCATCTCTTATGTCATGGGGAAAAATATCTAATAGAAGAAAAGAAGTGTCACAAGGGGTTCTCTTTATACAGCATGTAAATATGCCTTTCTGTTTTGCCAGCAGAGACAATTAGTAATGTCTTTCCCTCCTGGCAACTGTGCTCTCACTAAATGCACTAAATGCATTTTTTTATCCTTCCAATGGAGGATTTTCTGCCAGATTTCTCATAAAAGGGCTTCTTTTTATTGTCTTCTCTAATGAGATAGGGAAATGGGATTTCATGGACCCATTCTTTGACCCTTTTATGGCATGACACTTGTTTATACAAAAGGACTAATCAGCTACTTTGAGATTGCAGACTTCAAAACAAAACAGGTCCCAAATCTGCTCTATGTCTGAATCATAATAGGAAAATGTAGCATTTCTTCCTGACAGACGTCCTTCTTGAAGCCACAAAGGGTTTTTGTGTTGATGGCTGGAAGTGTTTAATATACAGTCAGATTAACTCTGGGAAACCCGATTCCCAGCTTGGCCTCAGCGCTAGCCTCAAGATAGAGGCTTTAGTTTGAGCTCCAGAGGTTTAATCCTGCCAAGTAACGAGATCTCCCATGCAATGCCAAGGAGAGTGTGAAAAGGGAGAGAAAACGTAAAACCAGCGACCATCACCGGGAATTATTCACGTCAATCTTTCTCATGCCTTTCTGATCCCTGAATTTCCATTCAGATCAATTATAGTTGAAGGCTCAGGCAACAGAAGGGTACACACAAAGCCAGCTTAACCACTGCATTAGTAAGTAGATATATTCCCTAGAAGTCTTTGGAATCACTGAATTATCGGAACAATTCCATTAACATCAGGTGGAACATAAAACAATTTGTGCACAAAAATCCTTCATATTCCTGTAAAATGTTCCTACTGCTTTTGATAGCCAGTAGTATATGGAAGCAACACTGGCATGCTTTGGGATGATTTAAAGCTTCTTACACTTTTTGAAGCTTGTTGTTTTTTTTTTTTCCACCAGGACTACAGCGAGCAAGTGCAAGAGCACCCTCTCCATACAGGAGGGACTTCGAAGCCAAGCTACGTAATTTCTATCGAAAACTTGAAGCCAAAGGATATGGGCAAGGTCCAGGTAAAATAAAGTGAGTATTATGACAAGTCTTTCAAATAGTCTACCATGGCATAACTTGGTCTTTTCTCCTGACTCCTGATTCACTGGTAGGAAATGGAAAACACACTGGAGAGTGCAGTTTGTAAATCAGTCATCAAGATGAGATGAGACCTTGGTATATTCTGAAAAAGAGGGAGGTCTCTATTTAACAGAGATATTAGTATCTTACGTACGATTTCCAAGTAGGAAAATGTCTGTGGTAATGAACCAGGCAGTACTACCAGCTTTACTGCATCACTGTAGTGATGGAGTAACTCCTAATCCTTTATATCTACGTATAGTGTAACTCAGGATCAGAGCCTGGGTGTACAGATTTTAGCTTGCCCTTGTGGGTTTAACTTTCAGTAGCTCTTTGTGTTGGATTGCCCTCCTGGATTTGAGTTATCAACATTTCTGCCTCTGTTCATGTATCTGGGGGACTCCGTCACTGAGGTTTGAGCTTGCTTCCCAGACAGCCTGGTAGGTGACTTGTGACTCTTGTGAGCCTTGTACCCTGCTCGTGCTTGTTATCCTGCTTGGCTAAAGGGCTGTATGTTTCTAAGGTATTTCCTGGGCATCTGGTTAAATTTATGCATCAGATTGACTTCCTACCAAAACACATCTGTTGTGGGGGAAAAAAAAATGAAACGAGGCAATTTATTCCAGGAAAACATCATCAGCAAAATATTCCTGCAGAGCTGAGAAATCCTGGTCATTGGTGGTTATCCCTTTTCAGAGTCCTGTTAAGTGGATCCAAGGCAGACACAAATTACATTCCAAAAGGTCTGTCTTAAAATGTCCATGTCATTTGAATAAGCAGGATTTCTTTCACAGACGGTGTTTAAATGCACTATTCATTGAGTTGTTTTAGAGGCTGGCAGAGGAGTGAGAGGTGTGTTAGATAAACAGAGGCTGATACTCCCTTTACTTACCCTGCTACAGATGCAGTAATTCCATGGACATTCACTGGATTAAATCCAGGGAGTGTTTGGGACCAATCCCAGAACAGTGTCACTTCATATATGCAGGAGACTCAGCACCTCTACAGAGATTTCTGTAAATAGAGGGTGTTACAGAGAGCCTTCTAGCAGTACCACTACGTTCTGAACCTAATCACAGCATTATGAAGAAAATCACCTGTGAGGCACATAGAGAAGTAGAATGAAGCAACTCAGTGAAAACCCGTAATGGTCAAGTAGTTTTTGCGCCAGTGGTCACTCATTTATTGACTTCTCTGAGAATGAATCTGTCTCTTTACTAGCTCATGTTTAACTTCAACCTCACCTACTCACACAAGACTCAGTCTTTAGATCTCTATTTCTGCCTCCCTTTGCAGGTTAATTATACGACGTGATCACTTGCTTGAAGGCACCTTCAACCAGGTGATGGCCTATTCACGCAAGGAGCTCCAGCGGAACAAACTCTACGTCACGTTTGTTGGAGAGGAAGGGTAGGGAACTTCTAACTATTATCAGTTATGAAGTAGCTGTTACATTGCAAAACATGGCAAGAATTGGCCAAAACTGAGCCTCTCCTGATATGTGTTGTTTCTTTATTTTAGTTTTTGTTTTACATCTGTGTAAGTGATTCATATCAAGTAGCTCATACATCTGTTAAAAATCCCGATAGCAAAAATGTTTCATCTAGTACTGTCAATCTAGATGCCTCAAAGTGCCCTTTTAAGGAGTTAAATCTAATGTTATCCTGATGCTCTAGATATTTTTATTGCATGGAAGGTAAAACGAACTACACACTCCTCATTACACACTCAGTCACTCTCAGGACTAAAATTAGAGACCAGGCCTTTATCCACTTTATTACTATACATCTTCAAAATGGATTTTTTTTTTGTTCAAAAATTTTTGCTTTATATGACATCTGATGATCGTTTGTTACCAATGTGTGGAGTTCTTGTTTCTGGTGAGGTGAGAAGCATCAGTGATATTTAAAAAATGCAGTCTTTTCAGTTTAATTCACCCAACTGGAAGCTGAAAGCAGCAGAATTCTCTCAGGGAGGCCTTTTCTTGGGAGACTTTCTGTGGATTTTACAAATCCAGGGGCCATTCATGTATGTTTAAATAAGCCATGGAGCTTTTGTTTCCATGTCTAAACAGAACCTTTCAAAATGAACCTTGCTCATCTCAAGAACTACATTATAATTGAGGCTGAATCCATATACTTTTATAATGGAAAGACCATTATGCTTATTTCCCTTCTATTTCAATAACTTTGCATTAAAGTCTCTTAAAGGAAAAGAAAATGGCAAGCATAGGATTTCAGGATGTTTCAGTTTCAGTCCCAAGGCTACTAGAACAGTAAAACTCTGGGACAGCTGTCAGAGGGTCCAGCAGCCTCTGACACCGTCAGCCATGTCAAGTGAAGAGCTTCTGCATAGCTGAATTTTTCTCGAGACATGTTAGGTGCAGGGGAAAATAGAAGTCGCCAATCTCCATGTGAGTTGCTCCCACCAGCATCAGTTCAGGGGGGTTTATTAACATCACTTTTCAGACTCCATGGATTCAGTATCTTCTAACGAAAGCCGCCTTTTACAATTGATTTTGCCCCTGGCTCACAAGTTATGCACAACCCTGCAGCGTAGCTGAGTTTGTATTTTGGAGTTGCATTCTGGTATGCTAACACTGGCCAAAGTCATGTTATTTTGCGAGCGATCTCTAATCACTTTTGCTATGTGCAGTACAGTCTCCTCAGGAACCTGTTGGGTTTGCAGTTTCATTCTTTCTTCACTGATTCATTTACCTCTGAGGATACATTACCACAGGACTTCTGCTGTTTAATGCTAGTATAGATTCTGCTGGAGGGGCTCCAATGTAGCAGCTTTCTGTTGAGAAGAGGGGTTGCTCTATGGCTACATACTGCTGCATGGCCATAGCTTCCACCATTGGCTTCCGAGCCAAAATGATGTTGAAAATGAACTATGAAGGGTGTATGCATTGCTCAGAAATGTAGTATCTAGTCTCTGTTTTTGAGTTGAAAATGAACTATGAAGGGTGTATGTGTTGCTCAGAAATGTAGTATCATCTAGTCTCTGTTTTTGCATATAGACAGGTATTGTTTGCACTTCTTTACTCCAACTAGCATGAGTCTCATCCTAGCATCTCAATATCTATTGAGCCAGATTTGTTACACGCTAGTGTAAGCAGGTTTGTTTTACGCTAGTGGTTCAAGGGGGATTATTATCATCCTCTTTCCCATTGTAAAAAGTAAAACAGGAAGAGATGTGCCAGCCTGCCCGTTAGCTTCTTTCTAGTTGCACCAATCAGTCATTCAGCGTTTGTGATTCAGCACTTCTTTAAACGTATATAGAACATTCTGATTCTTACGTAGAAGTACTGCCTGCCTCAGAAACTGGCACCTGTGATATATGGTTAGAAATCATTATTTCATATTGCTGCATGGACATTTGTATGAGATTGAAAAACCTACCTACCATTATTACAGAATGATATGTTTTTAATAAATCCATCACAGTCAGGATTAAAGTATTCATGAAGCTTTTTTGTTGTGTTTTATATCCTGTTCTTTGTAGGTTGGACTACAGCGGCCCATCCCGAGAATTCTTCTTCCTACTGTCTCAGGAGCTCTTCAATCCCTATTATGGGCTGTTTGAGTACTCAGCCAATGACACATACACTGTACAGATCAGCCCCATGTCTGCCTTTGTGGAAAATCACCTGGAATGGTAAGGACATTTTGTGCCCAATTGAATGATCCTTGCACAGTCCTACAGAAATGGAGAGGCAAAGCACAAAGGCTCTTGGTTTAGCCTAGATAACATGTAAATATTATTGCTACTTTTGGAAAGAAGTAGATTGGGAGAAGGAAGAGCCAGAGTAAGTGTAAATACAACAGCAGATCCTGAAAAGGGTGTGATTGGGTGCAATTATTAAAATGTCCTCAGTGCTTGAGATGTTTGCATGCTTCTGTGTGCACATGAAACCGATATGGGGAGAAGAGCTTTACTTAATCCAGACCTCGTCTCCTTTGTTCCTTTCTAAGAATAACGCATGATCTCTCTATACATCAAGGAGCACTGTGCTTGGAAGCTGTGCAGTGCCCTCCAAGCACCACACTGCCTTTCTAAACCTACTACAGGCCTTAAAAAGAAGTGGTGAAAGCACTCCCTCTTTTCTCTCCCTGTCAGTGTCTCTGCTTCCGTATGGCAAGGATGGTGGAGATATCAGGCTCTTTTACTGTATATGCGTGGAAACAAATTGCTGATCTTTGTGTCTAAAACTCTGAGCGCGCATTGTGATCTCTCTGTTTTCCTCTCTGCCTCCGGATCACTCCGTCTTTGGGAGTTGTTTTCCCTTTGATAGTTTAAGATGTGGTTCAGTGAACCGTGGGCTGCCAACCCAGGGCTTCGTTTGATCCCTTGTGGGATTTCATTGTGTCAAGGAAACACTGACACATGGGTTTCCTATGATGTTTTTCTTTGTTTGACCAATCTCACTGGCGCCCCTCAGAGATACTTTTTTTAGAAGGCAGTTTAGGCCCCTTCTAAATTGCAAATAGCACATGGCCATCTGTTCTTGTAAACTCTTCCCCTTTTGCTTTGACTTCCAGTGGGCAGCAGATCAAGAACAACAAAATGGTTGTGTGCCCACCACCTCTCATAAGATTGCAGTGAAAGGAAGGGGTATCGCTAGGACGTAGCAGTGGCCTCTGAGATGGTTTTTATATTATCACTCCCAGCAGTGGAGCTCCATGCTGGTAATGATCCTTGCATTGAACTGTTTCTATATTGACATTAGCAGGAAGAGAGTGGCTTGGATCTCAGAGCTCTTTTGCTCCCGCTGCTGTCTGTCGGTTAAACACCAGGCAACGACTGGTCCAGTTTTCAAAAGGAAATTCAGCTTCTCCTGGGTTTGGCTTCACAGGCAGTATTGCCTCCCTGATTTTGGAGGCCGTGTATGTGAAGATGCATTTTGGCTCCAGGCTAAAAGACAACTGAGGGAGATGGAAACCCAAAATCATATCTACCCTGTGCCTGGACATAGGCCTGCTTCTTCCTCCAGGAGCTGTTGCCATGTTAAGCCAGCAGTGCTGGAAAAAGGCCCTGCCTTTTCTCCATTATAAATACTGAATCTGTGAACAGACTCAGCTGCAGTTTTCTCATCAAAAGTGATAAACTGTGCTGCAAGAAGCATATACTTAGCACTGTCTCCTTGCTTTGTCCTTTTCTTCACTCATAAGAGTGAAGGAATCTCCCTCTTCAGGGAGATTTCAACTGGGAAGAGGCATGTTTTAAAGACATTCTAGACCTATAAAAAGATGAAAAGACACCTAGTAGACACCTATAGGAGTTAGCACCTAAACTCAGAAATCAATAGCACTTAGACACCTTGGTTAAATTCCTGAAGATATATGTTAAGTGGTATGACATGAAGGTATATGTTTATACCTTCTTATTTTCAGAATGTTTTTTAGCACTTGGACATTTCGGGGTGGAGGGGTTGTTTTTTTTTCAAGAACAGGGAGATGAAGTTGGCCTGCAGAATGAAGTAAATGCTGCAAATGAAAAGGTTTGTATATAAAGCAGTGTAAATAGGGTAGGATTGCAAGGCAATAGGCAAAGATAAGGAATCCAGTAAGTGATAAGTAATTCTTCTTGAACCTGTTACGGAAATAACTGTCTGAGACCCACAGTTTATAATTAGTCTGATAGGTTTCACAATTGGCTTTAGATATCCAGATATTTTAAATGTTTTTTTTTTTTGTATATGCATTGACTGATTAGAGCTATGCATATGTAATCCTAGAACAGTTTATTCAGAAGTCTGCATAGTCAGATAAGATTAAATTGGGCTAAGATTGTTATAACTCAACAAATAAGATTCTTCACATACGGGTACATAAGGTAACTTCTCTGAGGATGGTGTACTAACTTGCTTGTGATCGTTCGTCCATGAGCAATGGCGTTCTCTGAAGTTGTCATCATTTTCTAACTTTGTTGCCCTCCAAGGCAGTGCTAAAACTTCTGTTGCTAAAATTTACCTGTTGATAGAATTCCAGCAGAGCCCCTTTACTCTTTGACATGCAAGTAATTAACATTTTTCTCCCATTCCCAGCTCTGTCATGAGACATCAGTTAACGTATGTGGGTGAATGAGTTTTGAGAGACTTATTTTCACAGAGCATTAATCCTGGTAGTCTTTTTCAAAGCTTAAAAGTTTGACATCAGTCATTAAAAGCACACAACCACAGTTGTTTCAGATTTATAGATTTCTGGGACTGCTTGCCTTTCAGTACTGTGAGGATTGTCATTTATGTGGAACTTTTCCTTTCTGTATAGTAGTTCTACAAGATCTATCAAGACACAGCTATAACAAGAAACAGCTCTAGCAGGAAAAGAAATAACAAAAAATCCCACAAAATTATTTTACATTTTCTCTCAAGTAGTGAGTTTGAGATATAACACATCTCTGAACATGTGAAGATGTGAAGTGTTGTTCATACTGGCAGGATTGAGAAATTTGCTGTTCTGTTTCCCCTGGCCTAAAAGTTACAGCTCTGCCCCTGTTAATGGCTTATTTCATGCCTTGCTCTTTGTACAAACAACAGTCTGAGCCCAAAATGAGCACATCAAAGCACAGAGCAGTTGTATGTTTGCCAAGAGAAAAAAAAAGGCATAATGACTGGAAAATATTTCTCATTTATGGAGAAACTGAGATTTAACACCTTTCCTGCAAGCAAAAATTGAATAAGACTTTTTTCTTCAGTTCACATACATGCTTGCTGAAGACAAAATATAAAATATAGCACATTTTAAAATTTAAAAAATATTTTTTAAAAATGTATATCTCGACACAGTTACAACTCTCTAGATCTAAAAAGTTTGATGGTACACATTCTTATCTGCCTGCTACAGAATGTATCTCAAATTCATGGGCGGAACGGTTTCTTTTAATCTATGCCACTAATGAACCATTCTGTCTAATCTAGTTGACATATCTACCTCTGTGTCTGAATATTTGAAGGAAACCTCTAAAACACTGTGTATCCCCACTATTTAAGGTAGTCTTATCTTCCCAAATAAGCGGGGAAAATATGGTGGCAGATATATTATTTCATTGAAAAGAATATTCTTCTCTCTGATCTTGGTCAGGTATTTCAGGCAACTGAGAGGGACTGAGTCACTAAAGGATCCACCTCAGGTTTTCTTCAAGGTCTAGAGCTTGCTGAGAGACAGAGCAGTGGGGAATATTGACATTTCTTTAACAACCTCCAGCAAAGTAAGAGGTAATGTTTAGTAGAGGTCCCAACCCTTATCGTAATGCTGAGTTGTGATGTTCTAATAAAGGCCCCCAGTAACTTGCCACATGGGCTTCTCAGTTTCCTGCCTGCAGCACTGAAGCACTGGGGGCCAGGATCCCAGTATTACTGAATATGCAAAGATACTTGTGCTCTGATGTTGTTTCTGACACTTTCTTCCTCTTACGGCATTCAGGATGATGAAATCTGTCAGATTAATTTTACAGGCCTCTACAGAGGCATCTTAGGGTATAAGGATATGATAGATGTTGACATTTATCAGCAAAACTCTGGACGAGGTAGGTAAGAACTATCTCTGTTGTAGGGATGGAAAGACTTTTGGGAAATAAACTTCTAACTCCCACAGACACTTCAGATTTAAGTTTGCTGTGAGCAGTGATGCTTCTTAAATTTGGCTTCTGTAGATGGAAAGGGAAGATAGGGCACCTTTCTCTTGGAGAACATGTAAATGAGACATCCAGTCCTATCGACAGGGGTTGGGACAGGGTTTTTATCTGTGATTGAAGACAGAAGACAGGATGGAATGGAAATGGATGGAGAAAGTATGTTTCTAAATTATGGGAAAACAAAAGCTAGTTCCAGATTTTGTGTGGTCTCAAATCCTTACATAGCTCACTGGTTACACTCCTCCTTCTTCATGGTGCTTTTTCAATGGGTCTAGAAAATTGTTAGCATCTGTTCACGGCATCTCATTCAGTCAGTACTGTAACAGAATGATTTGTCTAACCATGCCACGATACACAGGGGTTTTCCTCAGGGTTTCATTTTGGCTGTCATCTTCCATCACATCTGTTTCCCTGTTCTGCTCCAGCTAAACAACGTGGCAAAGTGGACATCAGTTTCTGTGAGATTTTTTTATCATTCTCACCAAGCCCGAAGAGTGATACCTCTCTGGTATTTCATTGGTCATGTGGCTTCCAATTTCAGATGTTTAATATCTGACTATTTAAGGAGTTGTACCTCTTAGTATAAAACAGAGTCTTTTTTTTTCTTGTGAACTTTCCCTCCCTGCTATGAGTAGTTAATTTGGCAATGATAACAAAAGTACCTTTGCTTTTCAGTTCCAGAAACACTGTGTTCCCAAGCTGCTATCAGGTAGAAATCCGGTCTCTCTTTTCATGTCTTCTGAGGGGGTCAAAGCATTTCTTCATACTAGTTCTGGTTCAAAGCATTTCTTCATACTAGTTCTGGTTCCAGGAGTAACTAGCAGGTTAATATAATGCACCCATCTTCTAGAGACTGAACTGTAGTTATGGCATGGTCACCCACACCAGGCTTTTTCATGCTAGATCACTTGCCTGTTCTTTTCTCTAGCTTGCCACAGCACTCCATTTCACACCTTCTGCTTTTGAGTTTTAGTATATTGTCTGTTTGTAAATATAGAACCAAGGGCAGAGATGTGAAAGAA